ATTCATAAAACTTTATGCACTTTGAATTCATGATGTAATTATAAACTAATCCCTTATTTTCTTTCCTTATAACTTACAATCTAACCTCCTTCTTTTCTTTTCCAGGCACTGCTTTGTTTCCCTCACTGCTGAAATGGGCTTAAAGGTACTGTAAGTAAAAAACTTCTTTTTTTTTGCTGTTTTAAATTCTGATTTATGTTGATAAAATACTGTGTGATACCTTGAGGTTTATGGGTAAAGTGTGGGATCTGTTATTTGTGTTTTTTCAGCTGTTGGCCCAACTACCTTGGCTTAACGCTCACGTTCATATAACAGAAGTATAAATCCTAATCATAGCCTCATTAGTCCTATCTGGGAAGGTTACTTAAGGAGACTTAACCACTGGCTACTCCTATATATTGTGCTCACTTTACCTTCTCAGGAGCTGCATGATGCTTTTAAGACCCCTTGTTCTGCTGACCTGAGCTGTTCAGAGGCAGGGATAAGCTACTGGCTTTCTGCAAGTGATGCTCAATGCCCCCCCAAAAGTTTGATAGTGCTGCTAGAATGTCAACTCTGGGACTTCTTTCTTCTAAGCCTAACCCTGGCACAAGTGTCATCCAGTTTAGTTTTACAGTCACTGTTAGTGGAACAACTGTGGTGCTTTCTGTATAGACTCAATCACACCACCTTCTACGGGCACAGGGAGGTGATGAGTTTTTGGCAGCACCATCCAGGCCTTTCAGTGGGAAGGAGAGCTTTGCTTGGAAAGGTTCTGTGATATAGCCATGTGTCCTGATTGCTCTTTTTCTTTATATGCATACGTGCTCTTTCTCTCTTTTTTTGTGATAAAAAGGCAGTTTAGGTAAAGCTGGTTTGGTACATGCTGTGCTGCTTTGGGGTACTTTCTGCATTTGGGCCTCGGGTGGGTGAGTGTTTAAGGCTCTTGGTGACTTCCAGTCTGAATGGTGAGAGCCAGGAGTGTGACTGTTCATCATGTCCAGGAACTCACAGTCCTGCCTATTGTACCTAAACCCAGAACTTCTGATTTGCCCTGAAAGGCAGATGTTATACTCTGCCTGTGGCCCTTCCCTCTAGGGCATTGTCCTCTGGGGCATCCCAGGCTCACAGAGAGGCTCTTGTATTGGCACTGTTGTGACTGTGGTGATTGGGATGGCCTTGGGGCTGAGCCCATGAAATGCACTAAGGATGTATCTGGCACAATGGAGGGGGCATGCAGAGTTTTTTGGCCTTTCAAAAGCACCAGGCACTTCTCAAATGTTGCCGTATGCTCCTGAGAGAGCCCCTCGGAGACTTCAGTCTGAGCTGCCCTTAGGCAGGTGCTGGTAATGCCACTGCTGGTTCAAACAGCACAGTTAGAGGCATGGTGAGAAATGTTTGTCATGTTTGGAAACAAACTTTTTGGTCTTTCTTTGAAATGTATATCAAATGTGTATTTTAAAAGAGCCATTTCAAAATACCCTGCCATGAAAAGGAAGCAAACTCTGAGTTAGGAGAGGCTTCATTTCTCCTACTTGTGCAAATGAGGTACAGAAACAGAAAGGGAGTACTTTCCTGCCTCAGTGTTTGCAAGTTTATTACTGATGGCAGAGTAACTGATGTTCCTGAGGACTTCTGAAAAGAAGATGATAATGCAGAGCTCCAAGCTTTAGCATTTTAGATGCATTAAGCTATCTAGACCATATGTGAAAAATGTCATCGCCTACCGAGCAGCTAATGTGCCCATCAGTTATGGCACAAATTGGTCTGTCTTTTGAAAACCAGAGGAGACAAAATTCAATATCATTCAGGTGGCCTGTAACAGCTTTGTTTTGCAAAATGCTACATGAAGTGACTGAGTCCCAAAGTTGAAAGTGTTGCAATAAAGATCTTAAATGAGTTAGCGTGTGGAGCAAAGAATACTAAGTACCTTAAACTTGGTAGCAAGAGATTTTTTAGCATATTTCAATTTACTGGTAAAGGTTTCCCCCCCCCAATAGTTAGTATGCTGCTTTCTAAGTGAAAAAAAATGAACAACCAAACCAAACCATGAAAAAATTGCGTCAGTATGTGTACACTGTATACCACATATATGTATGTATGTATTTACACAGAGGTGTGCACACACACACACACTCTATAGCTTGCTTTACAGACTAAGAGCCATGTGGCAATATGCTGTGGCATCAATAGCTACATTAGAAATGGAAATTATAGTCTGCAATGATAGGGTTCAGATTTTAGCTAAGAGCTGTGCATAATTTCAGCATTTTCTGGGTTTTTTTCCCATCCCAGACACTCAGTTTCTGTGGCCCTGATATTGTCAACTCTCTCTAGAAAGGGACTGAATTGGTTCACTCATATTACAAATCCCAGTTGAGGACCTGCTCCACTCATCATCTTTCTGCCATGCTGGTTATGGTTTAGGTGTGTTTGGCCATGCACAGAGCACCTGAAGTGAGGTCAGGCAGGTCCCAAGCAGTCACTTGGCTGGCTAGCACCTCAAGAGGTCATATATTCCCTGTGCTTTGTGACCCCTTCCCAGAGAAAGCTCGCCAGATACAGCTTTACAGGCCGTAAGATTACGATTGCTGTTCACGGTGTCTCGCCGCTTGGTGTGCCAGGACAATGCATTGCTCCATAAATCCATGTAGCAACTAAAGCAGAGCTTAGGGAAAGGTGAGTTAACCTGTCTTTGTGCTTCTGACAGTGGCTATAAGGACTAAATGATACCACGGCAGAGTCTCTGCAGGCAGCAGGTTGGCAGGAGGCGCTGCCCCTTTCCGAGTCACGCAGTTCCACTGGTGCAGGGATGCTCAGTGAGTGGGCAGTGTGGGGCAGGCTGGCAGTGCTGCTGGGGTGCCTCCCATGCTGCTGTTGTGCACACTGACAAACCCACCTTGAAACAGCTGCTTGGAAGTACTGAGCAATTTTACTAAGAGCAAACAGCTAAATGCCAATAAAGATGTATTGGACAAGACTGTGTCTTCACTTATTGGTGTGGAACTCCCAGCTTGTCATCTGCAGGCACTCCCTCTAGGTTTCCCTCAGCCTTGTTAGGTTTGAGTTTTAGGGTAGAGGGGTTTCTCTGTGAACACACTTGTCACTTCTACCTGGCTGCAAGATGTTACATACAGTTGGATTTCTAGAGTAGCAACATTGCTGAGTGGCTCCCGTCACCTCTGTAATTATCAGTGACTCACTTGCAATCACAGTGTCCCAAAGTAGTTTTCTAGTAGCACAAAATATCTGTTGAAAGCTTCACAAAATCTCAGACTTTTTGAAAGTTCATTTTTAGCAGCTTTTTTTCTTGTATCACCAGGCTTTAAAATGTGTTCTTTTAAATAGTTTCTCTTTTATTAAAAATCAACAACAGCAACAAAACCCACATAAGAGTAATACACAGTAATTTATGGAATGTTCTTGAGTTACCCTGTGACTTCTAGAGAACAACAAACCATTTGACAAAGACCTTGATGCAGACAACTTCCAAGTAGAAAGAATGAAAGTAAAATCCACTCACTCCCAATATTCCATTACCTTGAACAGGATTAAAATGTAAATAGGAACATGACTTGACTCCTCATATTAATAAGTGTTTTTTGGTGTACGTGATCGTATTAGTTGAACAGAACCTCATACAAGTGTAAAATTCATAGTAAAGATGTCTTTATTCCAAAATAATAATAATAATAATAATAATAATAATAAAATAATAATAATAATAATAATAATAATAATGTGTTAGCCAGACAGCTACAAAACATCTACACAAGACTTTGGTAAGAAATGTTCATGGGAGCTTTTTCATAATTCCACAGCAAACAAAAACAACGAAGGAACTCTAAAAATGCAATTAAACAAAACTTTTTTTAACTTGGTAGGCCACACACAGAGAGTCCTACTGTACATTTGTTAAGCCCCTAACTTTTCTTTTCTGTTATGTGTAAAGCTTCTACAGTTTGTATATTAGAAAAAAAAACATATGCACAATGCTAAGATCTGATAGTCGAGGTCTACAAAACTGGAGTGACATCTGTGCTTTCAGTTCAGCAGGAATATTCAGGACATCAGAACAATAACAGTTCTTATTTTTATTGACTGATAATCAGTGGCTATTACACTACTAGAAAGTTTACAGTAACAATGCAAGACTTCTACATATTGTATATCAGAGCTTTTTTTTTTCTGAATAGAAAATCAACCTCTTATTTTTTCTTCATTTGTTTTTGTTTGTGTTTCTTTTTTTACAAAATGTAACAAGCTTAAATATTTCTCTTGTATCAAGTTAGAAGAAAGACAAGTGATTTGTAAAATGTTTCAACAGAAAAACAGTGTGAAAAACTGAACCTAAGCAGGAATGATCACATATTTTTGACCCGGTGCAATTTACCTTGTCATTTCATCCATTAACAAGGTGGGGGGAAAAATAATTTCCAATTTTCATAACTTTAATGAGCCTAAGAGAAATGACTGGAAATCACACTTCTAAGAACAGCCTTCTAAGAGGGGAAAAAAAAAGTATATGGAGAATCAAATTAGTGAGAACTACAGAGAAAGGAATGCTAGATTGTTTTAATGGACAGTTTTGTGAGCACATTCAGAAAGATATTGTATATTTCCTATATACCTAAAGATGTATTTGGACTATGTAGCCTCTGTCAAAGGGTGTATTTAATGGACCAAACAGCTTGATGAACTGCAACAAACGTGAAAATGAAAATACAACATTGGTTTTAATTGATTATTTGCTGAAACAGGCATGGTTTTGTAAGAACAGCTTTACCAGTGATAAGGGTCGATGAGATAAAATATGGTTCATGAACTCATAACACTTTTTTTCCATTCAGGAGAAACTTTCTTCTTTTGCTCCCCCTGTCCCAGGCTCTCACAGATCCAAGCCTCCAAAACCACACCTTTTGTGGTCAAAGATTGCTTTTCTGAATGAATATTCCCAGCAGGGGTAGCCTCTGTCAGCTCAGCCAGAGCGGCTCACGGGGGTGGGTGGGGTGAGTAGATGTAGCTCTGCCCTGGCATTGGTCACTGTAGCCCTTCTCTTGCAGATATCTCTTTCTTCACCCAAAACATGCTCGGCTGGTCACTCCTCCAGCTTCTGTATCATTCCACTGTTTTTTTGTTGGGTTTTTGTTTTGGTCAGGAAAGGGTCATGTGCAAGGTAAGGTTGTAAAGCATTAGAGAGGGACAGACTTGCTGCTATCCTGCAATGGCAGTGCTACAGAGACATAAACTATAGAATTTTTGAAGAGGCCCAAGAAGGCAAACTATCTTCTGATTTAATATTATTAAGTGAGCCAAGCTGTGCAAAATGTAAAATGTTTGGTTTTAGCATTAAACCTTGTTGTATCCTTTTTTCTCCTCGTTTGGTTGACTGTGGACTTGCACCCATTTCATTTAGCAGCAGAGGGAGAGGCTTATTACTGTGGTTGGTTCCATTGTTTTCCTGGCTCTTCCTTCATTCCAAATATGCAAAAAGCAGTACAATACCTTGAGGGGCTGGGATGCAGCAGATGTGGAAGTACTGAGCAGCCCTTGCAGCGTTCAGCAGAGAAATGATGATGAAAAGCCCTATGATGTAATGCAACCAGCCCGTCTGGGTGCACCCTGTTCAGGTACAGGGGGGTAATGAGAGGATCCCCAGGGTGGTGGTAGTGAAGCTGAACATCCTCAGTGGGTTGTGGTGCACACACTTTGAGTGTGGGAACACTTAAAACCCAGGTGTCAGCTTCTCAGTGTTAAGGAAGTGAGTAAATTACTTAAGGCTGCTTTAAAGACACCACAAAATAAATTTTGCTCCATTCATTTCTCTCAAGCTTGTTTAAAGAGTCAGCATCAACAGTCTTTATTTTCAGTGCATTGTTATTACTTCTGTAGAGACATAGGTGTATGCTGCCTTTCCTGGACCAAAAGACAACAACCTCTTATCTTTAATGTTATCTTGTTAAACCTGCAGGACAATATTGTATTCCAATAACAAGTGAAGCCCAAGGGTCTTGCTGATTACACTTGATTACACATAGGGATGAGACCTAAATTCTGCAGCAGAGGGTATTAAATAGCAATTAGAAAGGTGAGGAGCTATTTTCTAATCTCAGGCAGTTTGTTGATCACTCAAGTGGTCAGGGAGGGAATTTAACCTGGTAGTATATCTACAAATGGCTAATCTTCACAAATTTAGTAATTTTTAGATTATTCTATACTCTGAGTAAAAAAAACAAACATAAATGACAGTGCTGTAAATGTATTCCTGTGTCAATCTCTAATTACCTTCTTAAGAGACTGTCATTGTTTCATTTCAGAGGCTTCCTTCCCTTTGTTTGTTATAAGGGATACATGAGAACCTGGCTCACCTTTTCTCTACCATTTTTGTTATATTATAAACCTATTTCCCTCTTCATCTGTGATTAACATCCTCGTGAAACTGAATCTAGTTTTTTAGTGTCTCTCATGTGGAAACTTTATGTGACACAGCTGTTACAACTCTCTAGACCAATTTCTATTAGTTTTGTATCTATTTTGAGAGGCAGCGGATAGATCCAAAATAGGAGTATGGAACCTAAATATATTATGACATTCACATGTTTTCTTTGTGTGCTGTTTTGACTTGAGTGTGTAGTGGTCAGACATCATTATTGAGCTGAACAAATTATTTTCTTTTTAAGTTTTAATGAAACAAAGACCATTTTGCATGGACCACAGCATCCACGTGAAGAAAAGTATTTAGGATTATTATTATTATTATTATAACTATCAGCTTAACCCAATAGTGTAAAAAGATAAACATGCACCTTTAATATTATTGAACCAGCATTACTGAAATTACTCCTTGGCATAGTTGTGTAATTATGTAGGCACTGCTTTGGATTTTTAAAATCAGATCAAATCAAGAGAGAAATCCTCCCTCATATGAAACATGTCACTTGTGTTAATACGCATGCATCCCATGTCTTTACAAGTAGCATTTCTATATGGCTATTCCATGTCCACAAATATGTCTGTATTTTAGTTAAATAACTCATGATGACTTACTATTTTTATGCATTAAGGGCTGGCTGGAGTACCAAAGATTTACTCTCAGCATAAATCTGTGAGGAAACATTTATAAAATATTTTTCTTGCACCAGCAAGACTAAAAAGCAAACCACACTGCAAAAATGAAAACTAATATACACTTTATATTTTTGTTGTTGTTGTTTTAAAAACCAAACCAAGGTTGACTTTCCATTTAGCTCAGAGTGCATCACTTGGAACCTTGTGTTTTGTTAACAAGGATGAACATTACATGCTCTTAGCTCCTTTTTGTCTTTGCAACTGGTAAAGTGAGTACTTTTGGACCTCTTCTTCACCATCATGTAGCGTTCCTGAATTCCACCTCCACAGAGTGTAGAACATTCTGTCCAAGCAGTCCATGGTTTCAGCCTACAAACTAAAAAAATAAGTGATTTGAATAATTTTTTTAGTAGTAGAACCACCTGTTAAGTATAATCAAGGTGCATTTGTCAAACACTGAAAAAAGGATTAAAAAAGAAATTTACTGTCTACATTATCTACATTAGAAAAGACAAACTAACAAATTGTTAAATGTCAGACAAGCATGAACCACAACTTAGCAGTAATTCCTCTTGACACAATGTAAACTACAGGCCAAGATATTATGTTTTGTTGATTTGTGGAATCAGTACTTGATAATATTATCCCCTATTGAAAAAGCAGCACTAACAGATCTCTCAGAGGAGACTGAGTCTGAATCAGATTATCGAGATGGAAATTAATTCAGTTTCAAAATTCAGCATTGGATCCAGGAACAAATGTTTCAGAAGTTTAAAGGCAACTGGATGCAAAGATTATCACCCAGATCTGCAGAAACTGCAACCAGTCCTTTGCCAGGTCTAAATTTTAGATTTTTTTCACATTCTATTCTTTTGTGTGGAGTAGCTAAAATATTTTCAGTGGTGGGACATGGGCAGACGTGAGCTTTTCTCCAACTCAGGTCACACTTTAATATCATTGCACAGGTTTTTGGTGACAGGCAAACACCAAAAGGGGCTGTGTTTTATTTTATTACTAAAACTTTCCCTAGGCTGAAATGCTGGAGTGCACTGTAACTCCTGTTATGCAGAAAAGACAACTAGCCACGAGCATTCCAAAAATGGTTTGACACTCACCTGGATATTGCTCACTATCTATATTCTTTTTTGCTTGTTCGCTTCTCCTTTTCTCCCGGGCCTCTTTCCAGCGCCTCTTTTCCATACCCGGGCCTCGCAGGCATTTCCTTACTCGACATTTTGAACGTTGGACGGTTTCTGGGCATGCTGTTCCTCCAAACTGGGGCTCTATTTTAATCATCCTTGTCCTGATCATATGGCCCTTTCCACACGAGGTGTTGCATTCGGACCACTGGGACCACTCCGTCAGTTCACAGTCAATGGCTGCAAAGAGTAAGAAACAGGGCACAAAATCCATGAAATCTAAACATAAGGTCAAGAAACAAGATGTACCTAATGAGGTTTTTACACCCTAAACACACGAACACAGCTTAAGATTCCAGTCTTCTCAGCAAATGTTTTGAGACTGTACATCAAAATTTCCCGAGTCCGTTCCTAGCAGAAGTATTATTTGACACTTTCCTCGATTTCTTCTTCAAGAGTGGTGTTGGCACATCACTAAAATTACAATGAACATATAAATAATTCTCCTGCGTCTTCTTCAATTTTCCCACCCATATGTCTGTTTTGTAATGAAAACCTGCTGAAAATTGAGTTATATTTCAAAAGAATTTGCTACCTCTGAGAGCTAAGCCTTGCTTTCTGGCAGTGTTATGCAATAAGCCATATTCACTAATACCATTATATCTTTAAAGTTTTCATCTTTCAGCACTGCTTAACACTTACAGCCCCAGTGAATAATAATCAAAATGATATTTCACATCACTTAAAAAAAGCTGAATGAGCAATTACAGTGTAAAAGCCTTTTTAACCAACACTTTCTGTGAAAAAATTATGTAATTTGTGATAAAACCTCATAAACCAGCTGGCAACAGGATGCGAAAAGCAATCATATCTCATTCATTCAGCAGCACCTTAGGCTATCACCCTTTACAAAGACTGAAAAGCAACTGGAAATTTGCACTGCCCAACAAGTAGGGGATTTTAATGGAGTGAGGTAAAAAATCATTGCAGCTGTCTCCACACCATCCACTGGCTTATGTGATATCGGAGGCTGCAAATTGTATCAAAGTTCACAGATGTGTCAAAGACAGAGAAAGCCTCTTTTGTGCTCTTTGAGTGAGTTAAAAGAATCAATCTCACAGGTGATTTTAACTCTTCTTTCCTTCCCTCCAAGCACACATTCTGCATTTAAGTAAAAAAGTAGGTTTTATAATTCTGACTTATTTACTATTGGGAAGCTCACAAACAGTTGCCTGAAGTGTGTTAAACAAGCAGAACTGTGCACCCCCTGTACTCCACTTCTGGAGTGCTGTGTTCATTTCCTGGCTCCCTGGTAGAAAAGAGATGTGGACATACCAGAGGATGACCACAAAGACAGGCAGGAGACAGGCTGAAGCACATGGCATATGAGGTAGAAAAAACTGAGGATCCTATTGCTGTCTCCTAGTACATAGGGGGAGGGTATAGGTGAAACCAAGGCAGAATCTTCTCAGAGGAAAATAGAAGGATGAGAGGCAACAGGCACAAAATATGGCAAATTTTGTATAAATGCAAGAAAAATATTTTTCACTGGTGGTGGTGGTTAGACACTGCAAGAGGTGCCCAGAGAGGCAGTGATATTGCTATGTTTGGAGACAGTAAAACTTCACTGAACATTTCCTTGAGCAACTCTGACTGGATCTAATCTGAACAGGTTTTCTAGCGTGAAAATCTTAGGTGTCTTGGCAGGGCACACTGAGGTCCAGCTGAGCTTTAAGCATTCTCTGCCTCATCCTCTTCCCCTTTTCACAGGTAGAAGAGCTGCAGGCTGACCATGGGGACCAGTTTGAATATATATAGGTCTCAGAGGTATCATCTAAAAAGTAAGGAAAGGCATTGAATGTTAAAAATAGTCTTTCATTTTCTCCCCTTTACTTGGCTGATGATTACTTTAGATTCTAATAGGATACATTCTTTCCTTCTGCATTCTGTATTGATCAGGATTGATCACCAGCATAGGCTTAAGACAAGCTGAATTTAAGACACAATCATATTCCAGCTTTCAATTGCTGAAGGTGTATAATAACAATAATAATTTTTTTAACAATGCACAGTCGATATTCCTCCCATCTAAGAAGTGATGCTTAAATGGTGATAGAGTTTTGCCCCATGGACTGTTACACTTGTAATTATTCTCCTCTTTCCAGGGGATTTCCCAGACTCACGGCATTCAGGCAGCATGCATTTTTCTGCTTGTTCTAGCTCCTCATTGCAGTCTCCAAGTTCAGCAGCGGATTTCAGCATCCTTTGCCGGGTTCGCATTCCCTTCCCACAAGTTACACTGCAGTCACTCCACTCAGACCAAGGAGAGAGTAGACAGGGGATGGTATCTGACATGAAAATAAAAAGGTAATGAATTCTTGTTACAAATAAATTACGAAGGTATAAGTTTTGAAAATAATACAGGTGGAAAATGCGCTATGTTTTATCTGCCATCAGCCAATTATACTTTCTTGTCACAAGCTAAATGATGTTGCTGAAGAAGCTCAGAAAACAGTATATTAAATTGAAAGGTTTGCTTGATTTTAATATCTTTTCTTTGCTATCTTTTTCTGTAGCTTATTCTTATCTGCAGAATCCCAGTGCATCTGAGGAATTAATACTTTAAGAAGCTATGTTTCCGTCATAACTCCTGTAAAAAAACCCCTGGATTGTTACAGTGGACAGAACTGGAAGTCAAATTGATTTGGTCTAAAATGTGAAACTTCCATATTTTATCTACCAAAAACATTTTTAAACTTATCTCTGTCTCTGATGAAAATCTTAATGTTTCTTAAGAAATTAAAAACAATATTAATAGGAAGGGTGAGGCTGGCTGACTGCACAAAAGGAGCACCTCGATTTCTGAATTGTCCACGGGCTAAAAGGAGAGGACATGGTTTTACTTGTTTTATTCTAGCCTTATGACTAAATATGCCTCATATTCCATAACTTCAGAGTTGTTTAGGTATGGCTTGCTGATATACACACCACTATGTGGGTCATACAGTAATAGGATACCAGTGAACATTTTTTTTAACTGATGTTCCCATCCTGGTGGTGAATGTGGTACTTAATGCACATTCCCTAAGAAACCTAATTTTAAGGAGAACAAGAAAAAGCAACATTGCTTCTAGTTTAGCTATGTTCTTTGTGTGCTGGAACAATGTGTCAGATGATGCCTCCCTGTAGCAGAGGAGATAAACTCCCGCACACTTACGGCATTCAGGCATCATGCACTTCTCTGCCTCTGTAGTTTCTGCCTTGCACATGGATCCATCAGCAGGAGTCATCTTGATCATTCTGTGCCGTCTCTTCATACCTGTGCCACAGCTAGCACTGCATTCATCCCACTCACCCCATTCAGTGACAAGGCAGCTGCTGGGAGCTATTCAAAGTGGACAGAGGAAATGGTTCATAAGTAGGGCTCATATAAAAAATGGTTTGGGCAGAGCTCGTGTTATAGGCTGGATTTTATCAAGTTAAATAAAATACTTACAGCACTCCTCATTTACAATACACTTCTCAGTCTCTTCTGTAGGCACTTTGCACATGGAGCCATCCTCAGGGAACTGTTTTACATATCTCTCCCTAGATCTCGTTCCCATTCCACAGGAAACACTACAGGGGGACCATGTAATCCAGTCAGACATCATGCAAGTGGAACCATCTAAAATACAGAGAACCGTTTCAATTGCAAGTATTGACAGAATTGCTGATAAATCTGTAGCTGCCCATTTCTGTGCAGCATTCACTTTGATGCTGCCTTTCACACTGTCCTTTCCTCTACTGCTTCCTTTACTCCTTTCCTTTATGCTTTTGCGTTCTATATGCACTGACTCAGCTGAAATGCAGAATTGACCACAGACAGCTTCATATAGTGTTCTTTAGCAGTTATCCCTCTGTTTGCCATAACCGAAGCCATACTACAGCAACCAACAGCCTTTAGAAATTTAAAGGAAGAGAAAACTCTACAAGGTGTTCTTCTACTCCACATTTCATTCCTGATTACCTTCATCACTGCAGCCTGGACCCATGCATGGCTGAAAATCTTGGGTGTCTGGGCAGGGCACACTGAGGTCCAGTTGAGCTTTAAGCATTCTCTGCCTCATCCTCTTCCCCTTTTCACAGGTAGAAGAGCTGCAGGCTGACCATGGGGACCAGTTTGAATATATGCAGGTCTCAGGGGTATCATCTAAAAAGTAAGGAAAGGCACTGAATGTTAAAAATAGTCTTCCATTTTCTCCCCTTTACTTGGCTGATGATTACTTTAGATTCTAATAGGATACATTCTTTCGTTCTGCGTTCTATCTTCAGCATTTTAGCCCAGAAGAAACAAGAATTACCAATTGCCAGCTTTCATTTAAAAAAAAAAATTATCTGAATCCCAAAAGGCTTCTCTCTTTTATCATCTGTATTGTTATTGTCATCTTCTAGGTATATATGCAAAATTTATTTGCTTTATAAGGGAAGACTAATAGTAGACAGCAGAAGAGATGAAAACCTAAATCACTGTTTGACACCAAGTGGAATTTTTGCTCCTGAGTCAGTTTTGTTCCTTATCTACCAATCATAGGGGAGAATGAAACAAAATATAAATTAGTACTGCATGAACTAATTTAAAACGTACCTTCTTCTTTTTCCTCCGGTGCCAGATCTGCCACAATATCATCTATGTTGTCAGGAACGATATTGCATTGCTCCCCCTGCAAAAACATTGTTGTGGAGATTGAATACAGGAAATTCATACGTGAATGCAGAGAGAGGGGCTAAACCAGTATATTGTGAGGCACTACTGCACCTGCAGCACCTTTTTATCTTAGAATTCCTAGGCATATTTAAAGAAAGTCCCCAATTAAGCAGATGCAACAGTTACCAGTAATAGAAGTAATACCTTAAGGCAGTTGTAGGTTTTTTCTGCCCTTAGCTTTGTTGTGAGTAGGGTAAAGAGTGTAGATTTGGGGGGAAGGGGGAGGAAAGGTTAGTTTTCTGGTTTATGGAGTGGTTTTTTGCATTCACTTGAGAATTTTACATGTGTATTATACCTTGCGTGCAATTCTCTCAATGACGACTCTGGCTACCAGCTTGATAGATCCTCCTTCTGGATCATAAAATGGACTTTGGGGATGATCTAAGCTTGTAAGTGGTCTGATCTTCTCCTGAGGCACTGTAGGTTTGTTAGGAGACTGCAAAAAAAGAAAAAAAATGTTAAAAAAGAAATTATTAGTTAATAATACAATTAATCTCCAGAAATAAAAACTACTACGAGATGCTAAATTCCAAAATTCCTGTGTAAGATGATCTTGGTACATTCATACTTAATGGTAAGGTTTTTTGGTTTAGTTTTTTGGGGGGTTGGTTTGGGGTTTTTTTGTTGTTTTTTGTTTCGCTTTGTCAGGAAGTACTTCTCTAATAGTTCAGGATTCAGGCCTGAAGCTGGGTTAACAATAAGATGCATGCCTTGTTGTCTGGTTAAATAACTACATTAATAAAAAAAAATAAATTATTCAATATGCCCCCAGAGCTGTATTATAACTGGAGAAATTCCTTAGGTTCTAAAGAGGCCGGGTCTGAAAGATAAAATCATCCACATCTTGTCATCTGACATGGGAATATGTGCCCTATTTGAGGCTGTGACTAGTCAAGTCTCACTTCAGCTGTCTGTACTGCCTGCATAGACACACAGTGTAGGTACCTGTCACCTATGGACATGTAACCTGTTCAATTCACTTGCCATAACTCATTTGGTCAAAACCAGGACTTTACCTGAGGATGATCTGAATCTCTTCCTAGACTGAGAGAGTGATGGAGACAGAGAAAATGGATGATTTTATAGTCTCACGGTGATGAGAAATCGAGTTTCAACCCTTGCTGTAAGGAACAGTTATAGAGTTCTGTGCCAAACAGAACAGTTGGCATTGGGTTGAAACAGTCCAAAACTCAGGGGTTGGACACCTAAATGCTAAGTCCTCCATGTATTCAATAGGTGAATACAAGCAGTGAACACGAGTAAGAAATTCTTTACAGGTGGCCAAGCACTGGAAAAGATTGCACAGAGAGAGGTGGAGTCTCCCTCACTGGAGATATTCAAGAACCATACACAATGCTGTGCAATGTGCTCTGGGATGACCCTGCTTAAATAGGGAGGTTGGACCAGATGGCTCATGGTTGTTCCCTCCAACCTTACTCATTCGTGATTCTGTGGTAATAACATCCCAGGTGAATGTAATGTTATCCCATTAATAATAATGCTTAAAGGGCTTCAGACAAAATGACCAACAGTAACCGTAGCTAACATCTGTTTAAATGACTTCTAATTAATTTTAAGAAAAATTTTTGCTGGAGTAGTATAAAGTCACATAGGACACTACCATGGATCAAATACCTTTCACTCCTCTATGCTTTAAGGCAATATATTTGAACATATTACAAATAGTCCCCATACCTCATAGGTAACACCACTGTCCGTGCCAGCATCCCAGGGGATTAAATCCTGAACAACTTTCTGCACCCAGCCACAGTCCTTGGTGCAGAGATCTTCGGCAGAGAGCCCCACGTTCCAGTCGGGGCTGGGGCCGAGCATGGTGAGGAAGGACATCAGGTGCCGGTGGCGATCGACAGAGAACTCAGCAGAGGGAGCAGCTCTCCTGCAAATTCGAAGGAAGAGTATTAAAAACTGCATCCAGCTTTGCTGCTACAGGGAATTCAAACTCAGAAATACTGAACCCCAGCATGACACTGCATCTGGTTCATGGGGATGGAGGAGCAGGACAGGGAGAGGGCAGCTGCTCAGCACTCCTGAGCCTCAGTCTCCATAGGGCTTTGGCATCATTAAAGATTTGCTGTTTAATGGGTGAAAGAGATGTAGCAATACAGAGCTGCAGCAGTATGCTTATGTCTTAGTGGTATACTAGTAAAATATCTGTCACAACGCTTAAAAAAAATAGGACTAAAATATCAGAGAAATACCTTGAGGCCTTGATTGATGGGATATTTTTTAGCCCTTGTAACTAAGTTCTAAAGCCAAAAGTTCTTAGAAGTGCTACTGTGTGTGTGTGTGTGTGTGAAAAGCACTCATTAATAGAGTTTGAGTGCTCATGTAAGTGAGACATTAATGGCCATTGCCAGCCCTAGAGAGTTCAGCCAAGACTTCTGCAGCTTTCTGCCAGTGGATGTGAAAATGCCTCTAGTCATCCAGCCTTTGTCAGCCGTTCCCTCAGGAAGAAATTTGCTGAATCATGGAGTGCTCCGTGATGCTGATGAGCAACTGCCACATCCCTGTGCACATGGAAATAAAATCAGGCCTGACTGGAGGCTTCTGTTCACAGAAGCTGGACCTCTTTGTGGCATTTTTCTCATGAGCAACAACAAATGCAAAATTATTTAAAATATTATTTTGGTAATTTTGCTCTGCCAAATACTGATCTGATGTCAACCCAAGTTTTCTTCAGCTACAAAACTTAAGTAAATACAGAGTTAGGTCAAGGTGGTGGGTTTTTTTTTCTCATTTTGTGCCAAACCCCACTGTTTCAGAGCATCTAAAGACCACATTTATTTTAAATGTAAGGGGGGTTTGCTGTGTTATTTATCTTTCCTTTTTTGGTTAGGTACCTTATAATAATGCAAACACACGTAAAATAGTGTACATGCACTGTTCTACTGTAATCATAAGGAGTTTATTCTTCTTATAAATCCTTTTATACCTGTAAAAATGCAGTATTTTATTTGCATATATTTTCCTGGCTCAAAGGACTCTCAGCACATTAGAAAAAAAAGAGAACAGCCCAAAGACAAAGATTTTGAGTAGTTAACACACAGTATCAAATGTGAGATATCTAAAAGTTAGCATATCTAGTTCCCCTTCAAGAGGCAAGTTTCAGAAATAGGCATTTGCTAATGAGTAAAATGGCCACTTCTGTTCCAGAGTCTTTAGAAGTTGTTTCTTACTGAGCAGAAGAGTTGCTGAGTATTTGATGTCATTAATCCTGCCTTTCCCAGAAAGTAATGCAAATGACTTTTTTTTTCCCCATGAGGCACAGAAGTCTGGTTTCAGTGTGTAAAGTAATAAAATAATGAATGATGATATCAACTTCACTCTGTGAATACAGTATCCTGTATATATTTGTCAAGTACCTAGCAATGATTAGTCTTAAAAAGCCTGTTAACCGACTTCAAGTAACTAAAGGATTTACCGCATTACAAGGATTTTTTAAGAAGTCCTTCTAGGAATTTTATATTTCAAACAGCACACAGCAACAGTCTGAGCAGTACGCTGTAAAAATAACACAGAGATGTGTGTTTGTATACCTGATCTTTAGATGGAGAAAATGTCTAATATGGATATTGCAGAACAGAGATGCAGGTCAGCAAGGGCAAAGCAAAGAGAGGAAGACAGAATTGTACTGTTTAAAGGCAGAGGGTTGGGAATCACTTGACTGCTTTAGACACATAGTGATGGAAAACTCTTGTCTCCTGTCAGTCTTGTGATAGTCATGTACAATTAAGGCTTTGAATGCTTTGTTAGGAGAATTAATATTATTCATCATACCAAGATAAATTATTTGCGTATTTAATTTATGAGAGTATTTAAATTATAATTGTATCAATGTTGAAACTGTGTGAAGGAACAGTTTAGCAGGAGATACTCTTTGCCTACAAACTTATAGACGTATTAAATGATATCAGTAAACTTGAGCCTCTCACATTTTTCCAATTTCAGAACACATTGCAAAAAATCACCTACTTGGACAGATAGGTAGTGTTATGACTGTTATACTGTGTTTTATCCCATCACAGTTTAACATAGAAAAGTGAAAATTAGTAGAGGACAAATGGAGGCTTATTCTCTTCTCTTCCTTCCTCCACCCCACTGCAGACAGGTACCCAATGCACACACAGTTTGGCCACAGTGCAGCACAAAATGCTAGGCTGGACATTGTAAAAATCTTTATATGCAGTTTAAGAATTAAGTATTTAAAATATTCTATTTCATACATATAAATGTATATATATAAACATATAATGCCGTTGTTGCACTTGCTGCTTTATTCTATTAATTAATTTCTGTGTGGATACTTCTAAGCACGATGAATATAAATTTGAACAACTGTTGTATAGCGTTGCCCAACGTTGAACATTCTGAGTCCTTCCTCAGTTACTGTAATTAAGGAAAAATTGGCTGACCCAAGGCACCATCTATATTCACTCCTTGGGTACAGGGATAGGCACTGACTGGGCTTAGACAACAGAGAACTCTGATGGGGTTTTTTTGGGTTGTTTTTTTATAATCTGACAAATTTCAACTATTTCCAGTATCCACATGAATGATGGATTTATGAAGTTGGCAGGAATCTAAACTCTTTATGTGTACCTCAGCAACACATCTGGCCCAAGCATCCTAAACCTGCACTATGGAACTCTATGAAGGAAACCAGTGTTAAAATGTGCTCAGTACGCCCTAAACCCAACTTTTTTCATTTTTGTATGGTCAACTCACTGGACAAAATAGGAACGTGGATCATCTTCTCTCTTTAAAGGCTTTCAAATCTCAAGGAAATGTTCTTCCATGACAGGGTAAGCATGTTTGGTAAAGCCCACGGGAAAGCCTGAAGTTTGTAACTGACTGATGTGAATTTGCACTGAGAGACAAACAGGTCCCTTTTCCTTCCCCTGCACATATACGTGCTTCAAACCAAACAGGAGTTGCAAAGCAAATCCTAAACATTAGGTAAGTGCCAGATGACAACTCTGAGAACCCCACAGGGCAGGGGAATCCTGCTTTTATTGGCTGAAGCAGACAGTACTTTTCCACTGTGAGACTGAGCAGCCTGCTGGCAATTCCTGTCACATAGTACAGAGTGAGGCAAAGTACTAGGCAGTGTCCTGCATCCTGATGTTTTCCATTCCCTTTATTTCTATTCTATTTTTCTTAGCATGATTAGGATCTCCAGCTACAAGGATGTTGTATACTGAGCAGTGTAAGAAAATGGTCTTTTTTTCTCCCCCATTTTTTGTGTGTGTGTGTGTGTGTGTGTGTGTGTGTGTGTGTGTGTTGTGGTGTTTAGGATTGTGGGTTTTTGTTTAGGTTGTTTGGGTGTTTTTTTCCTTTTTTTAAGGCTAAAAGAGCACAAACATGATTTTGCTTTGCAAGTTTTCTCCCTAAGTGCCAATCTGGTTGCTATCACTACTGGGGGTGGGGGTTAAAAAAGCCTTTGACAAACCAACAGAAAACTCATCTTGCTGCAAAACATATTTTTGAGTGTCGAATCAATATTGTTGTGTTCTGATGAGGTCCCTGAAAAAGGTAACAGAGCCCACACAAGGAAGGTGGTTGTGTAGAGTTACGGGGTAGAAATAGCAAAAATTATATTTTGTAGAATGAAACTTTGTGGTTACTTCTGGTTTAATATTTGGTTAACATACAAGCAAAACAAGCAGGAAAAGGTAGCCTGAGCATATACTCGTTGTTTTTTTCTAGGATACTAACTAGCTCAACAAATAAGACCATTTGTAGGGTTGAGCTTGTACCACTGGAATCAATGTGCATTTTGCTACAGGATGCTACGTGTACTATATTTATATAAGCAGACGATTTGCCTCACCCATGTATAAAGAATTTTCCAGCAACACAAAAGCTGATTATATAAGGAAAAATTTAAACACGAAGAGCATCAGTATTTCCACTGCAAAGTTCTGTGTAGTGCAGAGACTCTCTTGTTTGCTCCCCAGGCTGCCTGCTAGAAATGATTTTAGGTGGGGCAGCACAAATGCAAATAATTTTTTGAAATAAAATAAACCAATGTATTAGATACTTGTTTTGCAGCAGTGGAGGAAAAGCCAGCAGTCCAAAACATCTTCAGAAATACTGAATATGTGCAGTGCTTCATCACCATCCAAGTTCTGACTTTGGTTATGGGAAAAAAATAGTGTGATTAAGTGGGCAATTAGAGAGGACAGGGGAGTGTAAAATACTAATTTTTATAATAGCTTTTTGAAATTAAATTCTAATTCAAGTAGTCTTATATATTTTGTGCTGGGGAAAAAAATCTGATGTATACCATGGAGTGAATAACTGTATGGAGCATAAAGTAGTTTGAAATAGCTCTCCAGATTTTTTCACAGAGCTGCATTAAGGGTATAATCATCCTAAAGCCACTATTAGAGTGTGGATATTAGATTCATTTGAGCATACCAGGATCTTGCTTGTGTTCAGGATAAAATAGTAGCTTTTTCAGATAGGAAGAAAAAAGTGGAAACAGCAGAGAAACCAGTCTAAGACTGATGATTGTTGGAGGTGAGAGGTATTTGAAAGCCATGTGGAGCCCATTGTCACTGGTTTAGTATCAGTTCTAGGTGGTGCTGCTGATGGGAAAACACTATGGTTTTTTTAATTTAAGAGTTTAGCTGATTACATGACCATGAAAATTGAATACTTTTGGAAATACGAAATGAATTGTCTATTCTACCCCTAGTAAGTAAAAAGCAGCATCCTTCTTTTTTGGAGGTTTACACTGCATCACATCTAAGCTTTCCAGCATGAACATTCTTATTTACTCATCTTTAGAGTTTTTTGCTGTTGATACAAATAACTTTATGAGCATGAAAACACACTTCACACCCTTGAACTTCCAACTCTGCACCACCTACC